CATATTTTAAATAACATAAATATATTTTTAAATTAATTAAATACATATGTTCATAAACATCCAAAAATTTATCAGTTACACTTTCTTTTCTAATTTTTTTAGAGATCAACATATAATTAGATAAATATTATGAAAATACATGTATATTTAAGCGATAAATAAAACTAATCTGATTTGATTTAACTAAAATAAAAAGTAATTATACTTCAATTTTAATTTAAAAATACCATTAACTCAATAGACTCACAATAAGAATATTATAATTTTATAATAATAGTAATCTATTTATTTTTATACATGTAAATTACAGGATGACTCAAAACATATTACAAAGAAAAATAAAATATTAACCATTTGCAGTTTACTTATTTTGTAGAATTTATATATATATATGTATGAAACTTTAAAATATTATCGTTATATTTATTTATGTAATTTTGAATCAAACACGCCAGCTTATTATTTATATCATTTTAAGCATGATATATATTAAGTTGTACATAATCTAACTATAATATATTTACATATCTAAGAAATAACCAACCTAAATAAAATAAGAAAATTAATCAAAAATTGATTATATTTAGAATAAAAATATTATAATTGAATTCAAAAAATAGATATTAACTAATATATTGAATTGATAACTAAATCGACTACTGATCCAAAAAGAATAATATATCTAAAATCATATGTATAATTAAAATAATATACATATTTATCAATATAAATTATACATAAAAATTGATTCAAAGTTAATACTAAATATCAATCAACTATTATAAAATTTTACTTTTGTAAATATTCATATCCGTGTATGAGCACGGGAGAATCACCTAGTATTGTATAATTATGAGAATAAAGTTGCTTTCTTATGAACTAATAAAGTTGAATTGCATTATTACGCAAGTGAAAGTAATACAGTACATTACTAAATGTGTTTTGTTCATGTTGCAATATACGTATATACATGTAATGTAAAATGATTCAATGAAAAAAAGACAATTTACTTTGAGAAATTCAACTATTAGATTGAAAGATGCCAGGTATCTCTCGGGATATATACAAAGCTCCTATGCATCCGTATTTGAGTAAAAAACCAGACGTCTGTCCCATGGTGTTGCTAAATACGTTCACTGTATTGTTATCTAATCTGAAACATTTGAATTGTAGATGTACTCAGAATTTTTGAATTGTTATTTAATCTGGAACATTTGCCATGAACACTGTGCCTATTAATTTTTTTGTTCAGAAATTCAATAAAGAACAGTAAACATTATATTGGTTTGTTAATTTACTTTGGATGAAACACATAGCAAAGGATTGACTAGAACACGTAATTGTAAGGATTCAGGTGGACATTGCTGTATAGTAAATGATTTTTTTTTTAACTTTGAATCAATACTATTAAAACTGAAGGACCTTTTTTGAGGTACCCTTTTATTTTACAAATATTAACAAACTCATATCATTGTAATATTTTTAAACTATGTTTTTAATTAAATTTTGTATTTTTTTTAAATCTGTACTATTAAAACAGAAAATCCTTTTTTGATATCTCTTTAATTTTTGTTAAATGTTATTCTTGTGCCATTCTTATATTTATGACTAATAAATTAATTTGTTTTCCAATCAGTTATGAGAAATTCATGAAGGTATACTGATTTACTTTCCTTTTTAATTTTCAAAATTAATTTAAAACATTTTGGTTTTGCATTTATATGTTGACATTAATTTAGATAATATAACTTCACGTGTTATATGTTATCTATGCAAATGATTTTATTGATGCCAAACTTAGAAACCATATGGTTTGCATATTTTACTTTAGAGTAATTATATTATATATATACTATTAAACACAATGAGTAGCCTACATTGATATCTATAATATCTAACGATTTTATTGATGTCTACCCATAAATTATATCACATCTTAGGTCTTTTTTGGTAAATTTGTAACTATGGATCCGGTTTTTTCAGATTATCTGTTCGGATTCGGTTAATAACACTTCTGTTTACGAATTTTATGGTTTAACCTGTTTAAATAAAGAGAAAATACGATTATATTTCACCAAAAAATTATCCCGGACTTTCTAAACACAGTCAAAATCTAGTTGGTTTTAGGTTAGAAGTACATCAACCTCAACACATGGGAGAGGGAAGAAGGTTAGTAATGCTTTTGAAAGTGGACTTCAAGGAATTCTGATGACATTACAACATGCATGGAGCAGAGGATACAAAAAGGTGATTGTTGAATCTGATTGCAAGAAAGCGGTTGATATTCTAAATCATAAATCTCTTCATTTTGATTCGTATAATTGGGTACAGGAGATTTAATGGTGGAGGTATAGAGTAGGAGAAGCTCAGATGAAGTGGATAAGCAGAGGATCGAATCAAGTTGCAAATAAACTTGCGAAACAAGTAATTGCAGAGGATGTATCATTTGTGTTTTATAATTATGTCCCTCTATTTTTAACCTCTTTATTGCACAATGACTTATTTGGTTCAATAATATAATAATTATTTCGGGAAAAAACAAATATCTTAGTTTTAAATATATTATAGTTCTGTTGTTTATGGGATCAAAGATAGATGAAGTTGCCGGAGGAGGCTGAGGAGGAGGATATGAGGTTGTGTGGGCTTGGACCTTGTCTTCATCATCATCATGATCATCACGAATCAAGTTCTCATCTTTCTGGATTTGGTAATTGATTTGTTGACTTCTTACAAACTTGTAGATGAATTTGATGATATGATTAGAGTTGTCTTCTTTTTTTGGGATGGGTTAATGCATTGGGATGCTCTCTTTTGGTTAGCTTGGCGTCACTCATTTGTCTGATTTTGCTCCCAGTTATGTTCAATAAGTGAATCTCGTTTGAACCAATAGGGTCTTGGCGTTGACTATCTTGGAGAAAGTTATCTCTTTGTGTGCAAGTCTTTGGTTGTAACTTGTTTATGTTTCAATCTACAGTTCAAGGGAAGCCTGCAAAATGGTTTGTTGATGCATTAGCATTGGCTCTCTTTGGGGCATCAGTATAGATGTGCTCTGTTGTTACTTGGAATCTTTTTTGATTAATCCTGTTTATTTGGTAACTAGGCAGGAGCTATGCTGGGGGATGCTTTTCTCTTCACCAATTGCCCCATGCTTTTGGTGCAGTAATGGACACAGTGATCTATTCTCGTTGTAGTATTTTCATTGTTTCACTACTTAATTTTTATGCCTTAAATTATTTCTAGTGTTCTATATTCACTCTGTTCGGTACAAAGAGATATCTTCTTAAACTGAAAAAACTATTGTGTGGCAGGTGGTGGTCACTGCTCATGACCATGATCACCATGGCCATCATGATCATGATCATTCGGACATTCACATTCTACACAAGATCTGTCTGTTGGATTGTCTGTTCTCGGTAAGTAGTAAAACGCCTGTTTTTTTCTTTTTTTTTATCAAACAAAGTAGGATTGATGTCTGCTATAGTGACTTAATCTATATTTTTGGCTTGTTTGTTACATTGCAGAGAGAGAGAAAGACTTCCGCTAGTGATGCTGTTGATAAATCAGATTATGTCGCAGATATGTATTACTTCCGATGGAAAATTGGACAAACCTGAACATGGGGGAGAAGAACTCAAGCCTAGTATTTATTTGGTTACCTCAACTTGTTCTCTGAAGGTGTTGTAAGTACGTGCCTCCTTTGTTATTTAAAGATAGGAGATACTTCGAGATAAAAACTCTTTCTCGTTTTTGTTGTTGTGCAGCACAATTTTACTGATGGAATGAATGGCGTTATTAGGAAGTGCGTTTCTCATATACGGATCAGTTCGTGGATGGTCTAGAATAGAACCATGTTTTTTTACTTGCGCACGAGCTTCCCCAAGAGGTCTTTACTCTATTTCCTTGACAAACTTGAAAATAAGCATAACAACAGATAACACATTAACAAAGCTTCAATGGGAATAGGTGACTTTGGGATACTAGTGAGCTCAGGCTTCACTGTAACAAAGGCACTCTTCTTCAACTTCCTCTCTGCACTCGTCGCACTTGCAGGAACCTTCACTGGCAAGTCTTTTCCTTCTGAAACCTTTCTACAGATACTGAGACTGAACTAACCTTGGTGATGCTTTTTATATCTCTTGACTACAGGTTTTGGTCTGGGGAAATGAACCGGGACAGTCATTGTTGAAGATAAGCTTAAAGATAACTTGGAATCTAAGTTATAATTATCCTATGTGAAATAGGATTAGGAATAAGAGTTATCTAATGAGTTTTAGGAAATAGTCTCTATATAATAGAATGCGTGTGTGTTGCATTCTTTGAGAGTTTTTAGAGATTGAGATTGTGAGATTTAAGGTTTTGAGAAGTTTCCTTAATATTAATAAAGAGAGTCTTTGTAATACTGCAATCCTTAAAACAATAGTCATCATTGATTGACAT